TGCTGATGCCTGAACGGTATGTGGAATGAAATGGGCGGGCATCGGGAGGCCACTATGGCACGGGGCAAGCACTATGGGCAGTCTATCTGAAATGTACCTGGCGTATAAGACGACCCCCCACTTGGAGGCATATTTTTCAGGGCCAAAAAATCGTCTTATACGCCGGCAAATACGGTATCCCCTATTTCTTGTGAATCCAATTCCATACTCAAGGCCACTCCTGCTTAAAACTTGGTTTGCAGTATAGCCTTCTAATTAGTGAGAACTATTTATCCACAAACTCATGTATTATAGGGTGTCTGGGTATACTTTTAAATAGTATATTAATGGAAAATGTAGAAAACCCATGTACTGGCCATCCAGTTTTGTTTAAATATGTAGTTTATTAAATGTCTGGTGGAAAATCTGCCAAATTACTGCAGATAGAGTCTTTGTAGTATTGTTAATCTTTGTCAGCACTGATTTTTGCCTTTGTAGTCCTCCTGACTTTATCCTTTTATTGTATCCCTTCAGTGTTCTCTTAAGGTCTTTTTCTTCTCCTGCAGGCCATGTCTTACAAATTTGTGTGTAGCTTTTTCTCAGTGTGGTTTAAGTAATTACCAGTCATCCCAAAGCCTGTTCTCTGGCCACCATCCAAGTGGGTTCTGAATTTCAAGACAAAGATGACATCTGTGTCGTCTTGTGCATTTTGGCTAATTTTCTCTGAATATCTTAGGTACTGTTGCCTCCCTAAGGTGAAGGTCATCTTATGACCCCTTACTTCTACTGCTGGATAGTAGTCCATTGAATGAAGATGTCACTCCATTCCCATTGATGGTTAGTTTATCTCTAGTTTTCACCATTACAAGCAATGCATGTCCTGTTCCGCAGAAGGTCTAGTAACTAGACCTTCTTCTCTATAAGTCAAATTTCTTGTGATAGAGTATATGAACTTTACTGGGCACTTAAATTGCTCTCTAGAATTGATGTGCCAATTTACCCTCTCACCAACACTGTGTGAGTTCCCATTTTTTCATGTTCACTATCTTGATGGGGTCAGACTAATTTTTCTTTTTCATGAGGGAGTCAAACCGGCAACCTTGCTGTTAAGAGCGCACGTTCTAAGGGCCGGCTGAGTGGCTCAGTTGGTTAAGAGCTCGCTCAAGAGTTTGAGCTCTGAGCAACAGCGGTTCGAGTCAGCCCGGGCTGAGCAGCCGTGAGCTGCCAACAGGTGGC